CCAGTGCCAGTAAACGATTGACGTTGGTATGAAAGGAGCGGAATGGGGGAAGCAATGAGCGGTACTGGAAGGGTGAGACGGAACACCAAAACGGGAGCGTATACGCAAGAGTGGAGGGTAGAAGAGGGAGACAAGACGCTGCCAAGAGAGGGATCTTTTATATGCATTTCAGAATGTAACAATGGTGACGGGACCGGCGAACGCAACGAGAGCGCACTTGACGAAGGTACCACAGTGCACCGGCAACGGGGTCACAGTTCCGTATGATATATTGGAAATGGTCCTATCAGCAGGTTTCCTACTCCGCGCACTTGTTCCGTAGTCAGTAGGCATGAATCCTAGGGTTGGAAGCCCCCCCCGCTCCACTCACAGCAGGGTCGTCGCAGGTGAGGACTGCTTGCTAGCCCAGTTGTGTTCAATCAGGTCATCCTTTCCAGGTGACCTCCGCCGAGTACAACACGTACAGAATCGGGGAGACATGGGGAGCTGCCCCAACGGAGGCAGGGTCCCCTGTCCCTCAGCAATGGTTGGGCGCTTCAATCGCGATCCAGCTAACCCGCGATATCAATTGCGCCTCCTGACCCCCGCCCCGCCCAGTGCACAAAAGATCGCGATCCACCGCGTTAAGCGAGCCCATACTGGGCTTGGGCCCATGAGGCTACTATCGTCCGAGCGGGATCGACGTCATGCAAGACAATCCCGCCGTCATTACCGGACTCGAAGTCGTGGTAAGATGGGATGCGCCGAGGTGAACTCGGAGTTCCACCCTCAAAATCTGAGTCTCCCGTGGAGAAAGGACCATCACCATCAGTCAACGCGACTGTCCCACAGTTCGACCGGGATACACGCACCTTGGTATCGAAGGTTTTAGAAAAGGCGACAGCTCTCCTTGGAGCTGCCCTTGTCGACGTTGCATGCTCTCTTCGCACACATACACTTTGCCAAAAATGTCACATAGTTTGTTATTAGTATCGTTTCGAATACATGGGGGTGGTCGCTCACCTGCATTGAGCACTTGCAGTAATTAGTGATTGTGCGCTGTGGCGGAATGCCCACACGCGAGCTGCAAGCGCTCGAACGTACCAGCAACGCGGCCATTATTGGGCGCCTGCTCCCATAGCGCCCTGGTTCTCTCTCCTTACGACAACGAAATCCAACTGTCAAGTAAGTACATAGTTCACACAAGTTTGCACTCACACGAACTAGGTACCCATCTTCCGTTTTGGGAGCGGGACGACTTCGAGTCCCCGGTTCCCTGTAAGTCACTACACAACTTCGAGTTGAGTGGTGTCGCGCCGTGTTGGTGCATCTTCAACTTTCAGGGCCATTGACATCTCAATTCGCTGTCCTTGTGGCTGATCTGGTTTTCCTCATTGTAGATATTGTCATGTCTGCGTTCGATCTCAAGCGTGCCCTTCCTCTGGAAGGTATGTGGAGTCGTCTGATATTCCCGCCACCTCCCCTCATTTACCTCCTTTTCAGGACCTCCGAATTTCTCGGATGGGCTTGTCAGAGCCATCGATTCCAGACATGGCTTTCTTGTGACTTCTCCCAACGCGGATTTTGTCCCCAAAATCGTGCGAGGCATCGTAGACGTCGTTCTCCGCTCCAACGGGAAGTATGGCCCAGTCGACCCCATACACTGGCCACAGATTTTCACGCCACGGTTCGGTTACCTATCCGCCGTCTTGAAACCTATCGCACCCCCACATCACTTGGCGCCGATGTTCACCCCCCCCTCCCAGACGGATTTCGTTCCCCTCACAGGCACCCCGGTTGCTGGGTTTGGGCATATCACCCCGTCATTCATTGCCCCCTTGCGCACGTTGGTCGGGGAGATGTCTCAGCGTATTGTGGACTTTGTTCGCAAGTGCGGTGGGGAGGAATGTGCCGATTTGCATTGGCACGGAGTCACCATGCGCAATGCGTTGTCACGTCTGCGTCTCATGCCTGCCTCGTTCCCAGACCAGCTTCTACAAGTCACCGAGCTCCAGCGGCATTGGCTTATGGCCTCAGCGTATCTGGAGTACCAATGGAGATTGCGATCTGTTTCGTCCGCAGACGAAATGATATGCGCACATCTGCCTTTGATGGGCGCTTGGTCGTCCGAGCCTCAGCATGTCCAGCTTTTATACGGGGCAGGGATCCCAGTCTGGTATGTGCGCACTTCCCATATACTCCACCGCAAAATCTCCATTGTGAGGTCCACCACTCCCGTCGCCCCTAGCACCTTACAACTCGCGCGTTTCCCGGGCACCGATGGGTGTCTATTCCATGGCCTGGTCGGGGAGGCCCACCTCCACTCCATGATGCAAGGTGGGCATGGGTACCTCGACATCTCCCATGTTCCCACAGCTTCCATATACTCGGGCAAAGACTATGGTCCAGGGATCACTATACGCGAGGCCAAAGCCATCGGGCGCGCAGGGGGGTCCGCATCCGGCTCACGCACTGCCCGGAGCTCGCAATCGCATGGACAACACACTCTTTCCGAACGGAGCCTTCGCTCAAAACCCTGTAAGTGTAACTCATCTGCTCTGTATGTTTTACTTTCTCAACGGCTCGGCTCAGACGACCGTAGAAGGGTTCCTGGACCCCACTCATCTCAGGTCCGTGGACATGACAAGTTTGTGGAGTTCCCTCACAAGTGGATGCCGCCTGCCATCCCCAGCTGGTCTGAGGCCATGTTATTGGTCGACCGTTCTATGCCAGCCCAACCCGCGGATCACCTTTGGGGGTATTGGATTCTAGAACCCGCTCTGATTTTGGGGCCCAAGGACGAGGCGCGCCAGATCCGATATCTGACCAATTGGGTCCGTGCGCGACCTATTTGGTTGTACCTGCTGCGTGTCCCGGGATCTCGCCCCACTGGGGTCGGTGCCCAATACTGGTGGTCCTTCCTCAACGGTGTCCCGGAGGACTCCCGCTTGATCACTCGTACTGGAAAGCGCATGGTCGAGATCAAAAACCTTTTTAGGAGCGTGTTCCAAGACCACCAGTTCGATCTGGGAACACGCGCACCGGTGGACTGGCATGGACATCATTTCGAGCACGTTCTAGAGGCTCTCGTGCCCGCAGTGATCTGGGAGATCTTCGAGTTGGGCTTCCATTATGAGCTTTTGGCTTTGGACAGATTCCTGAGACCATCAATCTCCCGATCTCGTGCCGAGGAAGCGGTTCGAGAAGATCTACTCGCTACGGTGTTTCCGGGGGGTTGGTTGCGCGCGGTGGATGCGCTACCTTCCAGCAACTCTTCGGGCCTTTTCGCCACCCATCTGCACCGCAGAGTGACCGCCCTGAACGCGTTGCGGCTGGTCCTCATGCAGTGGCCTGGGTGTCCATCTGCCATTGTTTCCGCCTCCCCTCTCCAAGGCAATGATAGGGACGAAGTCATTGTGGATTTGGAGCGCCATCTCGCCAGTTTCTACGTCGATACGTTCTTCACGTGTGCCGGTCGTGCACCTATCGTGCCTCACCTGTATCCCCTTTGAATGATTATATAATGCGTACTCGGCATCAACTTGCAACCGGCATCGCGACGCCACCTGTATGATGTCTTCGGATGTTCTTTTTGCCACATTGCGCCATCAAGGTAGGTCACGACATTCGGTTTAGGTGAAGCGTCCCTCCTCCCATTGGTCTGGCTCACATGCAGGGGCCTCCCTTCAATTGGTTGGCATGCCACTTGTTGTCCGATGTGTCTCCCCCCGTCTACGTGATTCTCGTCCTAGTATTCTTCATTTCCGCCTCGCCCACTGTTCTTGTTCCCAGCGTCGTCGATCCTCACTTATTTTCCACTTGGCCGCAATGCGAGGCTTCAGGAAGTTGAAGGGCAAAGCGGGGCGCAAGGCCTTGTCTTCTCGCATCTCGAACCCCGGCGGCACTGTTTACACTTCTCAGCTTGCCACGACATTTACGCCGTTTCTGGTGGCCCTGTGGTTCTCACTGATCGTCTTGTATCTACGGACGTGCTCCTCACAACGGAAGCGGGACCAGACCCTTCGTGCCACCTGGAGCCCGAGCAAACCCAACAGGGCGCTCTCCCCCCACTGTCGAGTCTTGGCCCCGCTCACTCGACAGTTCCCATGGACGACACCGGGCCTTTTGTAGCATTCAAAGCCTTATCGCTCTCATCCCAGGATGTTAGTGACAGGGATGCATCTCCACCCCCCAGCATTCCATCGGACCCGGTTCCGTTGCCCGCCCCTACCGATGCTCCGGCTGCGACCGCTGAGGACCGAAGACGCCCGCCTTCTAAGTCGAAGGTTCGTTCCACATCCCCCGCGCATAGTTCTTCCCCTCAATTGTTCCTTAGCACAATGCTGGCGAGCGACTGAAACAGTGGGAGCCCCACTTCCCCCGCTTGCTCGCTGGCATGTTGCGCGTCGAAGCCCACCCACTTATCCCTGGTGGCGACTGCCAGAGTTGCCACGCCCCCCAGGCCGCTGTTGCGTGCTGCAATGAGTGTGCTGATTCCCTTGCCCTCTGCTGATCCTGCATAGTTGACCAGCACCGACACCACCCGTATCATTGGA